TGATTTGACTTGATAGATCGATACTTCATTTGTTTAATTTAAATTATTCTATTTACTGTGGATTCATTATTATTCGTTGGATACCAATTTTCGTGGATTTCGTGGGTAATGGTCAACCACGAAATTAAATGTTCAAAGAATGACAAATTTTCTATAGTCTTGTATGCATTTTGGTAAAACCACGAAATCAAATATCCACGAATCCGAGAGTTTTACTTAATCTACGAAAATTGGTACCCACGAAAATAAATGAATCTACAGTACATTATTTAATTCTGATCTGGATAGATAAGTTACTTTTACACACACAAGGCAACAAAAGTAGTATCGTAAAGTAATTAATCCCTTAAAGTCATATATGAAACGAGTTTCTTGAAATTTAAATGTTATCGAAATTATTGAACCAATCCATGCATATATACTAAACTAAGTCTTGCATGCACGTTTTTTTTTTTATATTTATTACACATCTATAACGTATTATCGACAAATAATATTTCATTCAGTGGTTGTTGATAGCAAGCTAATTAACTTTCGAGTTTGTTGCCAAAGTTTACCGGATCGTGACATTGATAAACAATAAAAACAGAGCACGTAGAAAGCGCGACAGATAAGTGAATTGAAAGAGCCATGACATTTGTTTTTATATTTCCATGCGTTCCCATTCGTTAATTAAACTATTCCTTGACAGTTGTTAAATGATTTGTTGTATTATATTTGTTCTTCAAGAATCTGTTATTTCTATTTACCTTCAAAAGCACGTGTGTTTACATTCTTTCATCAAGGTTTTTCCCCTCGCACTTGCGCTGTGCGGTGGCCGAAGTTATAACGAGAGGTCTCGTAGTAAAGGTCACTGCATACGGGAAAATATCGGCGAATTAGTGTCTGGGAAGTCAATAAATCAATATCTGTACATTTATGAAGATTTTGATAATATAAATGATTTTTTCACTTCTTTTAGAGTAAAACTTAGCCATTCAAGTACTCCCCCGTATAAAACATGTTCACCTTTTTTTTTAATTTTGAAGTTTCATATGACTTTAACAATCTTCATAGGTGAAATAAAGTAATACAAATCAGTATCTGTACGATTTGTAAATATATATCACTTAAAGGATCATAAAAATGCAATAATCTTTTGCTTATCTCCTTTATCGTATTTGTTGATTTTATCACTTTGATGCAGTCATGTGTGTATTGTAGTTCATTCGTATTCATGATATATAAACTTCGTATTTTTTTAGTTATTTTTTAGTTTTTTGTTTGGGGTCCTTCTCCCCCCTCCTCCGCAGCTCTGGTTTATGAGTCAGTCTTTCTTATGACCTCATTAAGTCTTGTTACATAACTCGGTACCCAGTGGGGGAGCACAAAAACAACCAGTATATACTACTAAATATTTACATTTATAAATTCCCCTCCTCATGAATTAACACGTGAGATGGATATTTCAATTGTTAATTCAATTTACATTTATTATAAACTCCATTTATATTTTTTTTGGATTAGGTTCCGGTCATTGCGTAATAATAAAATATTAGGTTCCGTTATGTAACGCATCACCCGATTACATCAGATAACATTATCGGTACCGAGCCTCGGGCACCGAACGTCACAGTTTATACTTTGTCTTATCGAACTTGGTATGAGTGGAATAGTAAGTTTTTTGCCCCCCGAGGTGCAACTATTGCCCTGAGGCGTAGCCGAGGGCAAAAGTTGTATCCGAGGGGACAATGAACTTACTTTTCCACAAATATCCAGTCAGTAAGTGTTTTAATATACCGAAAGACACAAATGACCCAAAGTTATGCCAAGGACTGAACGACACAGCTGACCAAAATTCATTTAATTTATATTTGTAAGAGACAACGGACACATAGTGATGACAAATATCAGATTTGTAATATATATTCCAATAACTTCAATAAATTTCGTCTGATGCGACTTGGTCTGTGTTTGAACGACTCGGGAATCAACGTTAATAATTGAGATGAATTGCGATAGTTTAGAATGAATTGTTAAAACCCGTTGGCCAATCCCGTAGCTGCAGTTGAAATTCCGCGTAATGTAATGACGCTTGCGGTCAAATAGTTTCATCGAGGGGAAATAGTTGGAAACTATTGACCGGTTAAATAGTTCAACGCTTGCAATTTGAAAAATAGTGAAAATATTGTGTGCTTATTTGATATAGAAAATCATAACTGAGGTATAATAAACTATAATATTAAGAGTCATCAATGAACTAACGAGTAGCCAAAGGAAATGTCGTTATATCGTCTCACTCTTCGTGCAAGAAACAGATAACAGGCCATAACCACAAGAGAAATAATCTGTATCAACTCGATGGTGTAATATGGACGTTTGTTTACGATTAAAAGTGCTTTCGAAACCACAATCGTACATTTACAATAAGGATCTTTAACCTATGTTATTTTAAATATTCAAGAATGCATATTGTGTGTCTTCCTTATCATATACAGGTAATTGCTTTAGAATCTCGTTACACTGTGATTCCAATTTTTTTTTCAACTAAGCTGCATATAGATGAAAAAAATCACAAAAATTATGCACACACGAAATCTAAAGATCTTTCCATACACAAATTTGCAGTGTGTTTCATATAGTCACTATCAGGATTCAATTGCTTGCAATCTACCTACATATATTTGTACAACAAAGTTTTGGAGTGCACTTATGTTTATTGTCACGGGAACTTAAATATACAATTTTTTTTTATATAAACTAGAGGCTCTAAAGAACCTGTGTCGCTCACCTAGGTCCGTGTGCATCTTCAACAAATGATACTCTCCATCTTTGTGGACTAAAATAGAATTCATGAAAAAAACACTTTTTTGTTGATCTAGTCTTGCTGATCATTTTTGCTTATTTAAGTTTCTAACTATCTAATATAGTGTTTTCAGATACTAGGCAACAACGCAAAAAAAATGATAAAAATCGTTATTAAAAAGAACAAATCCAATAAGGGGTCATCAGACAATTTAAACCATGTTGACGTCTTTGTAGATCTTGTCTTGCTGATTAGTTTTGCTTATTTAACTTACTATTTATCTATTATAGTTTTTCATATAAAAGGCAAAAACGCAAAAATTGGTCAGAACCATCATAAATGGACAATAATTCAAATTAGGGGGTCATCAGATTATTTCACCTATTCAACTTATTTGTAGACCTTGTCTTGCTGATCATTTTTGCCTATTTAAGTTTCTATCTATCTATCATACTTTTTCAGATAGCAAGCAAACACGCAAAAAAACTAGTAAAAGTCATCGTTATAGGGCAAAAACTCCAATAAGAGGTCATCATATGATTTCAACCGTGTTAACTTATTTGTTGAACGTATCTTGCTGATCATTTTGCTATATTAAGTTTCTCTTATCTATTATAATTTTCAAGATAATAGGCAAAAATTTAAAAAAGTTGGTTAAATTCGTCATTTAAGGGCAATAACTCCTATAAAAAGTCGTCTGACAGTTTGGAAGTGAATAGACAATAGTTATTTCTTATCATTCCAGACATTTCTGCCCGTCAGATTTTCTCTATCTAAAGTGGTTTTCAAGATGAAAGCCAAAACTTGCATTTTACCCCCATGTTCTAGTTTTAGCCATATCGGCCATCTTGGTTAACCGGTGGACACATTGTTGAATTAGATACCCTAATGATGATTGTGGCCAAGTGTGGTTAAATTTGGATCAGTAGTTTCAGAGGAGAAGATTTTTGTAAAAGTTAACGACGACGGACGACGACGGACAATGACGATAGACGACGGACGGCAAGTAATGAGAAAAGTTCACTTGGCCCTATGGGCCAGGTGAGCTTAAATAGGTATGCAATGCAGTATCATAAATTAACGTCAGCTTAACGAAAACGTCAGTGTTTTTTCGATTTCTTTTCTGTAGTATTTATTATTTCAAATTATTTTCGGGTACTTGTATTTCATTTAATTATTTGTAGTAATATGATACAAGTGCGACCTAACAGGGTACCGAATAAGGGACTTTGAATGGAAAATGTAACAGAAAATAGTCAAAACAAATTCCTGAGACGGAGGTTATCGTTTCTCCTTGACTTAGACTCACGCGATAACTTCAATTCTGACAGAATATTTTCTGCCAGGTAGAAGCTTAAGAAAACTATTTTTGTTAAAAAGTTATAATGAATTATAGTCAAACATGCGAAACTAGAATATTTAAATATGTGCAGCACTTGGATATATAAAAGTTAAATGCATTTTGAGGTCTAGAAAATTAATCTATCATCTGGATTTTATTTGTCATTTTTTCTATTTTTGTTTTAATAATTTGCAACTTTACTGAGAACGTGCCAACATCTCAGAAATGAATAGTCTCGTCAGGAAACTAATCAGGATTTGTAATGTTTGTTCTGATTTGAAATTCATCAAAGTAGAAAATTCATATTTTCGGTTCTTATAACAGGCTTGAATTAAGAGACATGCGCTTCTTGTCAAAAACTTGTGAATCAATTACATTAATTAATTGTATCATTGCATGAGATGAAAGATGATGTCGAAGGCATACTTTAAATCTATGTCTTTTAATTGGCTTTTTGGAACTATTTACGTCAACACATTTGGTGTGAAGATACTTCTTGATGCTTCAATAATACTTTAATGGTTATTAAGACACTCTAGAGTGTTTATTAATAGGGTAGTTTTAAGAAACTCCTAAACTGGTGGGAAGAAAAGCAAGGGTTGACAATATTTCTATGCCCAGTCAAGCCTGGGGGTCTCGAAATCATATGATAGTTGTTATGGGATGCGTTGATAACTGTAGCCTTACGTATTATAGTGAGCTTAAATCTAATAGCTTCATCTCAGAAACCTCTGGAACTGAATGAAACACAGGGAGACTGTTTCTTTAGCAGATAATCATTAATTTCAATTTACGGAAACTAGAATTCATCTACCAATTGACTCGATTGGTTATTACATAAAGTAATTCCACAAATTACCAACAAAAACTTACATCATGGCATCATTTGGTTGGCCCTCTTCTTCCCTGAAAAGTATTTATAAACAGTCTTGTAATTTGATATGTATAATGTACCTTTGAATTTTATTTCCTCCTTATCTTCCAGTAAATTCCAAGAAAACAAATGCTACACATCTTTTATTAGGAACGTCACATTTGAAAACATCACTCAAAATAAGACTATTCGATTCGTCGTATATTATATGTCAAATCACAAGTAATTCTTCTTCTCAAAGGAAAGGTGAATAACAAAAATAAAACAAAATTCTGTTTTAGATTGAATACACGCGTCAACTGAATACCAGATGGTCTTGAATCCGTAGTCAAAATAAGGATGTTGAGATCATGCACATGATGTCGGTTAAAATATTCATTATTTCTTAAAAGTTAATATAACTGCAAGTTATAACTCTTGTTTGAGTTAGTGTTATTTTTCAAGAAAGAACATCCATTGAATTAAGGAAACAGTCCTTATTCTCTTAAATCGAGTGAAAAAGGGTAACAAACAAAATATGAAAGAATTGCATGGACTCAAAAATGAGCGGGCCGGGTGTGTCGACAGGGTAAGCGTCTCCTACTATGAATGCTCGACCCACCATGCTAATCCACGTTCAGTCAAAATGTCACAATCGGGAATAGGACACAATCGATAAAATCACTTATTAGACGACTATTCTGGTAAATAACGATCTAGGACAATGAAAAAATGTCTATGGTGAGTGAGAGACACTCATATCGTATCGGTCAGCTAATCCCTGATGTTGAAAATATAATTTTAGGAGTGTCGATTGCATTGGTTCTTCCTCATAACTCTTTTGGGACAGTTTTTGTGTAAGGAGCATACCCTCTGCTAATGAAATGGGTATAGCGTGAATATGCACAACCTTAACGTATCAATTGAGAAGTGTAAATGCGATACGGTGGGGCAGATGCTATGTTATTGCTCTGAAATGGGAAGATGACAATTTGAAAAATAAAATCATCACGATTGTCATAGTTTCAAGTTCGAAGTCGTCAATCTTTGTCAATATCGAGGAACAGATCAATATATGAAGCAGAACTCCTTGTTTCGGTAGTACCCACTAGGATATATGAGTTGCAAACCCCCTATTGAAATGCATGACAGGACAATATCAATATATCTGAAAATAAAATTAAAGAACTATGGAAGAGTTTTTTTCTTTTTGTCTTGGAAAAGGTTATGCATGATTTCTGCTTCAAATTACTACAAACACAAGTCTACAAGTAGGGTGCACACTTAGAACGCATTGGAGCATCGACTGTCTGTTGTCCACCAAACGCAACAAATATGTTGTCGATCAGAAAGTCCAGAATTTATATGATTTCATGTCGGTATATATTTTTTTTGGAATCAGTACAGTACTTCACAAAGCATGATTTTTCATGACCTCAAACTAGAGATTTGTATCTATGATTCTCAAGAGTGTAGAAAGTCTCTGTTTAATGACACAATATATTTGATCTTCAAATTGAGCATGGGGAATATGTATAAAAAGCAAAAGTTTTGATATGTTTACAAAGATGTAAAGATTTTGATTGAAGATTTTGCAGTAGATCCTGAGAAATTAAAAAAATCTACATCTGATTTACAATAGCCTTGATATCGGAACAGCATACAAGTTAGGTATCAATATAGTTATAAAATCAGCCACCCCCCTCCCCCCAGAAAAAAAAAGATCAAATGTTTCTCAATTTATGTTAGATGCTCCCTACTTTATTGCTGAACTGGACAAAGCTTGATTCTATGAGCACCTCTCTTAGTTTAACTTTGCCAGGAATTTATCTTGATATATATTATTCTTTAATTCATTCAGATTTTGAAGGTATTTGGACAATACTTAGCAACGTATCTTAAAAGATATGTCTAGCTTCAATTCTGATAAAATATTTTCGTTTTGATTTTTAGGAATGTCCTTCTAACTAATTTTTAGGATAAATTTGTAAGCCATACTGAAATCTTTCAAATGTTCAGTTCATATGCATTTCTAATTTTGTTATATGTACATAAATACAACAAACTTTCGGGAAATGACCATACTTTTTTTTATTCGTATACGCCAAAGTACTGACTACTGAGCTGATGCTACCCTTGGGAACTAATATTCCAACAGTAGAGGTATCGACCCAGTGTTTTAAGAATGAAAAGAACACTTTATAAATTGTATGCGTCCCAAGCGCTTTTCTGGGTTAACCTTAATCATGACCGAATATTAGAAAGATTAGAATGTATTGTTACCGAATCAAGTGAAGTACAATATGACCAAAAGGGACCTAAAATAATAGCCAAATACATCTAATGTTAATTTTTCCTGCAAACGGACAATTTAAGAAATGTACGTGATAAATCATGACAGTACCAAGGTATTGACCACTGAGCTGATGATATCCTCGGGGCTGATAATTCTCCAGTAGCGGTATAGACCCAGCGCAGGGGAATTGTTGGATAAAGATAACAACGATGAATGTGTAATCATCAACAAAGTAAATATCATTCGTCGAAATGTAGAAATAAAGAACTTAATAAGTTAGGCTGTTTTACGTACTGTCGATATGAATTTTTACCGAAAATCAGGATACCTTCTATTTCTAGCACCAATCAAAGACTTGAAAAATATCATGGATTTAAATCCGATTTAGAAATGATTATAAAAGAGACCGGTTTATGTAGTGACGTAGGTGTAATGAATTCATACTATTATCCTTGCTTTTAACTAAATCAATTGGATGTGAACTGAGTAGATATTCTAGTCTGGAAACATGATTCATTTATTAGTTTTCACTAACTGTGAGTACTCTTAAATCGGTACTTTGGTCTTTATAGAAATAAGAAGATGTGGTATGAGTTCCAATGAGACAACTCTCCATCCAAGTCACAATGTGTAAAAAGTAAACAATTATAGGTCAAAGTACGGCCTTCAACACGGAGCCTTGGCTCACACCGAACAGCAAGCTATAAAGGGCCCCAAAATGACTTAGTGTAATACAATTCAAACAGGAAAACCAACGGTCTAATCTATATAAAAAACGAGAAACACTTAAGAACCACATCAACAAACGACAACCACTGAACAACAGGTTCCTGACTTAGGACAGGTGCAAGCAAATGCAGCGGGTTTAAACGTTTTAACAGGCACCAACCTTTACCCTAACCTGAAATAGTAGTGTAACATTACAACAGAGAAAGACACACTATAAAATATCAATTGAAATGGCTTAACTCAATCAAAAAGACATATTAACAAAAACAAGTAAACATACACTGAACGAATAAATTTGATCTATGACACAATATGAATACAATTCATGTATTAAATAAAAAAGGGGGGATGTAAAACAATGTCAAAAAGACAACTATAACCTTGGACAAAATGGCGTTAAATAAAATAACGTAAACAGGTAAATTTAAATATAATAATTTTGTTGTTAGGAGTACGGAAATATTTTTTACAAAATAATAAATTTGTTGTTCATAGTACGAGAACAGAAGTGAAAATTTATCGTTATACTAGATACTTATCAAAGATGGTACATATTAAAAATAGTGAGACGAGATATAACACAAAATAAGTATACAATGAATAACACAAATGCATTACAAATTGTGTCAATAGGTCAAATTAACACGAAAGTACGATTTGTGAGTACTCGCAGTTACTGGAAGCTAGTTAAAAGCCAAAAACAATTAATAATACAAAATCATGGATCAGAGACTAAAATCAACTAAAACACATCCCAGGGATTTAGTGTTTTAACGCCATGGACAGTCAAAGAAGACTATAGGAAATGACAAATTGTAGATAGGTAATGGGGCATTTGTTCAGTATCTTCAGGGCTTTTGGCTATCTCCAGCTTTTAACTATCTTCTGGTTCTAGGAAGCTTTTCTCATTCTTGAATCCAGTTTAAGTGATGTAAATTTTGATGAATTTTGCGAAAAGCTTCAATAATTTATGTAACAACAAAACAGAATGAGGCGGGGTTAAACATGCTTGTGAATGTTAAACGCTCAAAATCAAACTATGTGTGTTTGCATCAAAAACTGAATTCTTGTGGTACTATGATATGCTGAATCTAACTGCATTAAGATTTTTAATTTTTGGACCCACTTAAATTAGTCCACATTAAGGTCCAAAGGGTCCAAAATAAAACTGTTTCATATCAACACAAATTTATTCCTTAGGGTTCTTTGATATGCTGAATCTAACCGTGTTTTTTATTATTGAAATTAGGGGTCCAAAATTGATTTTAACAAAAAAAAATGAATTCTGGCGGGTCTTTGATATGCAAAATCTTGCTGTAAATATGGATTTTCAATTTTGGCTGATTTCAATTAGTTCACATTGAGGTCCAAAGAGTCCAAAATTCAACTTTGTTTGATTTTAACAAAAATGAAATTCTTGGGGTTCTTTGATATCCTGAAACTAAACATGTATTTATATTTTTGATATTGGGCCCAGTTTTCAAGTTGGTTCAAATCAGGGTCCAAAAATAAAATTAGTTTGATTTCAATAAAAAATTAATTATATTGGGTATTTTGATTTGTTGAATTTAACCGTGTATTTAGATTTTGGATTTTGAGCCCTGTTATCAAATTGGTCCAAATTTAGGTTCAAAGGGTCCTAGAATAAGCTTTGTTTGATTTCATCAAAAATTGAGTTTTTGGGGTTTTTTGATATGCTGAATCTAACCATGTGTTTAGATTTTGGATATTGGATAATAGGTTATGTCAAATATTATGTTCTTTGACTACATCCATTCTGAGTCAGAAACTTATGATGTGTTAAATATTTGATCACAATCCAATTTTAATATACATTAAAAAGCGAAAATAATCATTGATGAGACATTTACGAGAGATCCAGTTACACTAACGGCCATCCAAGATGGTGACAAACATCATGTACATGTAGCATAACATTAGACCTTAATCATTGTTAATATTGGTCTATTTGGGAAATGTAAAACTAGCAGTTTATGCCGTCAACTGTGAAAATACTTGCAAACATAAATTTCTCATAAAGTTCTGTTCATAGAGATCTGTAAATTGTATTCTTTTTATTTCAGGAATCTATTACAGATTCTCAAACATCAAGTTGGAGTCAGACGTCAGAATGTTTCGAGGCACAGGGAAGTACATGAACTGATTAAATTGCTAATGTAAATAACTGTTTGACACTGATCTCAAATAATACTGTGAGTCCCTTAAGATCTCAACTGAAAACAACGCGGAATAGTGCATCAGACAGCACCAAAAAATATTATGCACGAACAACTTATGAAGTAGTATCACACATACTAGTATGTGAATTAATTGCACCTGGCCAGTCTGATGAATTAAAGAAAGCAAAATTATCTTCTGGAATTACAACTTCATTACCTGAAGAAGCATTTATATTAACATTATCTAAGATGTACAAATGTATTGTAAGGTGTAGGTCACGGTTTAAAAAAAAATGTATTAGTATATATAGTCAAAGATGTGATATGTAATATCATAATTTTTATTCGAGAAACAAATATTTATATCTTAGAAAAGGGTGAATTTCACAGATAACAATAACTCAACACTTTAGATGTTCAAACATTTTAATGTTTTAAATAAAAACACAAAGAACAGTTTTAAAATATTGTTATTATAAGTTCAGAGCAATTCATATTCTTTCATAACAAATAGATTGACGAATATCAATAGCAATACGCCGAGAAAAGTAAACGTTCATTTGTTTTTGGTAATATTTCGATTGTCAGTTTTCGACAGTGAAAATCACACATGTTCCAAACCAGTTTGGTAGAAACGAGGCGACGTATGTCGGATATATTGTTTGTCACTGTTAGCATATCACTAATAAATAATTGTATGTTTGTATTTTAAATGCACTATGTCAGGGATATCAGGATCTCGTATTTTTGTATCGAGCACCTGTTTACATATTTTTGGAGAAAGAGTCATCAACTGCGCATGTGCGTAGAATTTAGTCAACTGGAATATCTGTAAATTCTACGATTTCTTTGATTGTCAAACATATTGAGCAAAATGCTCACTTTCTAGATAATGTCAGGGAACCATTCGATTCATTTGAAGGCTTACCTATTCTTATTTCATGTAATTTGTGCCATTTTTCAGCCGGTTGACTCGCATGGCTTTTGATTTCTCCGATTACCGCTTTCCGGTGGTGGCGCTACTATCGTGGCGCAAAAATTATGAAAAATTATTTTATTCAAGAAAATAAATTATTCTTTCATGTATTTATTTTTATCTAGTAGGAATAGTTTTTGTGATTTTAAAATTTGTATTAATAATTTCATTTCTTCCCCACAATCTACCCCACAAAACACCCAACGGATCATCCGATAGAATACCCAACAATATCAGTTTTGGAGAGAAATCAGTTCTGCTACAAATTTTGGTTTGAATGGTTAGAATTTTCTAATAGTCTTTTATTTATTTATTGATTTAAGTAATTTTCAGTAATTTACTTTTGCAGAACTAAATTTTATTCAAAGATTTTCATTGTTCAGTAATTTTCTCATTTCATTGATTCACATTTCTTATATAAAACTTTTGGCAACATAGGATTTCCTTGTGAAGGGCCAAGGAAATATAAAACCACATTTTTTGTATATAACAGTTTCCTGTGAAGGTCCAGAAACCTGTTATCTTAGCACTTCTCCTGTGAAGGACCAGGAGGAAAGTTGTTATTATTGTATAGTACATTTTTGTCAGTTTCCTAAGAAGGATCAATCTAGTATCAGCATACCCTGTGAAGGACCAGGATATTTCTGATTGTATTTCATTGAAATTTATATTAAATAACTAGTAAAGTTTCAGATAAAGTTTCTCGTTAAAACAAATAAATCCACATAGTCCATGTAAAGTAACTTATTTTGTTGTGTTTCTCCTTGTGCCGTATTGGCAAATTTAGTATTTTTTTCTATTGCATAACCATATTATATTTGACACATTGGTTGGTACATTTCCACCACAATTTTTGTCATAGCACTGACTGTGAAGTTCCTGTCGGTGGCTTGGTGAATATTTTGAATAACTGAAATTCAGTTACATTTTTGGTGTTAAATAGTCATATTGGCTGTGAATGGCCAGCACATCTTTTGACTTGTAAATGACTGTGAAAGGCCTGTCAATGGTAAACTTTTAGTGATAGTTTGACTAAGGTCAAATAGAAATGTACTTTTATGGTGATCCCGTAACAACACATTTCTGATTTTCTAATGACATAGTAATGTTAAAGCTTCTATTGAAGATATACAAATAAGATAATAATGGTTCATTGATTATTGAATATCATACACAAGTTGAATAAATTATGGAAACTTTTACTCATTAGTTGTCTTTTGCTGTGCCTTCGGTTTTCTTAGAACCACTATAATTTCATCAGGCTTGGGCTCATTTAAAGGTTTTAACCCAGTAGTCAGAAAATAATTTATTAATCAACCCCCTATCTCGCTTCAAATTTTGGTATCCACGGTGGGATCCATTTTTTTAACAAGTGGATCCTGTGATACGAACTATTGATTTCAAAATGGTACGCAAGAGAAGTCCTATCCCACCACCAGCTGGTAGTGGCGATGATAGTGACACAGAAGTCACAAATACAGAAAATGAAACGGAACAAGATTCTGAAGGAGAAAGTTGTTTCTCTGATTATAGATCTGATACTGAGCCTGAATGTTTCGTATCAGAAGGAAAAAGAATGAGCCCAAAGTTAGCAAGTACAAGCAAGGTTAACTCCTCAGAAACTACAAGCCTGAGGCGCAGCTCTAGACTGCTTAACAGAAGGCAAGCAAACCTTTACAGGGGGAGGCTCCCACCCTAGAAACAGTCCTAATGTTCTTGATACTAGTTCTCAAACTGGTATATATAGCACTATTAATATGCCATCCAAGAGATGACCACTCAAGTAGTTTCTGCTATACAAGCAGCATTTCATGGCAGTACTCCCATGCCATATTCCTCAAGGGATATTAAAACTCCACCCAAAAACACTGTTCATCGAAATAAAAGAGGTCACTCTCCTGTGAAGAGTTTTACAAGAGAGCAATTGACTCATGATAGTAATAGTGACTCTTGTGACTCAGAAGACAATGACACTGACAGTGTCGCCACTGGTAGAATTACCTATGCTAGATCAAAACCAAAGTTTGGAAACAGCATTAAGCTGCCAGCTTTCACTGGCGCTGAAAAGTTGGGGGTATGGGTCAATCGTTTTGAATCTGTATCTGACCTCAAGAGTTGGACAGATGAAGAAAGATTGCATGAAATTTTACCCAGACTGCAAGGTGACGCAGGCGAGTTTGTGTTCGATCAGCTCACCCGAAAAACACTTAGAAATTATAATAAACTCATAAATGAATTAAAGAATCGTTTTGGGGTCATTGAAAGTTCTAGAACCTACAAACTGCAATTTAGTAGGCGAAAACAATTGCCAAATGAAACACCTGAAAAGTTCGCAGCCGACTTAAAGCGGCTGTATGATAAAGCATACAAGCGTCGTGATGCTCGACCTAGACAGGAAGACTTTCTTCAAAGGTTTCTTTTAGGGCTATATGACTACAAGGCCCGTATACATATAGAGCTCAACCGAGACCCCCTAACTATAGAAGAGGCTGTGTACGAAGTTGTTACGTACACAGAAACTATGAAAAACCCAAACAGTGGGGAAGAAAACAATAAAAGATCAGTGAGACAAATCAAGAAGGCCCAAGAAAGTGATAGTCATAATGACCAAAAGAACAGTAAACCCAGTTTTACAAAACCAAAAGGGTTGCACCTAAACCTAACACATGAATCAAGTGATTCAAAAGCTGTTACTATGAACGAATCTGACTTGTTGACTCTGTTCAATAAAATGTTTGAAGAAAAGAAACATGAGTTAAATTTCAAACATCCCAATAAACCTGATCAGTCCAATAGCAACAACACTAGCTTTAACAGTGGTTTTAAAAAGCCCATATTTTGTTATAGCTGTGGCCAACCTTGTCACATTGCAAGGAATTGCACTTCAAAAACATATGACCAAATATCAAACCAGTCCCTAACCCAAAATTTCAGTATACAGGTGACAGAAGTCTGAATCCTGACAGTCGGGTTCAGCAAAGCTTTTTAAACTAGAAGGGGTCAGCTCCGATGGCCGGGAGGTGACCCACATTGCAAAAACAAATAAAATGGAAGATCAAAACTTGTTTTTTAAAAGTACTCCAAATGACAGTTCTCGATGCTCAAACATAACTGTTTGTAGTGATAAACATAATGATAGAGAAACATCCAAGAGAGACAAAACAGAATATCTCAAAATTGATAGTAGTAAGGAGGTTTGTAGTAGTGGTGTATGTCCTCCAGTAGATACTGAAGTAAAAGATTTGCCTATTCAGCGTAGCAAATTAATTTTAGGTAGTGAGACGTGTGTAGATAAGGAGCCATTGCATGAAAGTGGCAATGGTCCTTTGACTTTGAGCTCTATATCTGAAAATGATACTGGAAATTTCGACATTATAGGTCGACAAATTTTGAGAAGTGAAGGTGTCTATATTAAAGGAAGCATTGAAAATTCAAATGTAGTATTGACTGCAGATACTGGAGCCACAAGAACTGTCATTTCGACGAAAAAATTCCACATGCAAACCGCCCAGAATTACAAAAGTCAAATTCTCTGGCAAGTGCAAATGGTCAGCCCTTAAAAGAACTTGGAAAAGCAAATTTTGAACTCAAACTAGGTCCTCTCTTTCTAATTAAAGAGTAAATAGTGGCTGAAATTGAAGATGAAGCTCTGTTAGGGCTAGATATTTTAATGAAGGGTGACTAAGGACCCGCTGATATTATGCTTACTAAAAATAAAATCAAGTTGAACAATGTAGTTATTCCCTGTTTTAAAGTAGGTCAGAGTGACCCAATTAGAAAAGTCACACTAGCAGATAATTATTTGATACCTGCAAGGTCTGAAGTCATTGTAGATGTTTTTATAGATCGATTTGACACTGATACTAAAGATAACCCAACAGAGTTGTTAATTGAGCCTCATACTCAGTTCACAGATAGATATCCATTAAGGATGGCTTCTTGTCTTGTAGACCCCAGTCAAATTGTCACCAACAAAGTGAGATTGTTGAACCCCTTTAACAATGAAATTGAAATTGTACAAAATACTGTCCTAGGGACTGGCGAAGAGATTGAAGGTTCCCCAATTCCTCTGTTCAACGATGAAGACAGTGAAGAAAATGCAAATTTCAATAGCCTTCGGAGAATTAAATTTGCAAATTCTAAAACCAGTTTAGGGGACAGGGCAACAAATACTGATGTTGTATGCTGTTTGTCCAAATCTATGCCATCAGATGAGTGTTCAAGTGGAGTTGTTCCACCACACTTTGAAAAATTATATAAAGAGGCTGCAAATGGCAGAACAAATGAAGAGCAAAATGTTATTGTTTCTCTATTAAATACTTTCTCATCTGCCTTTTATAAATGCGACACAGACCTTGGTCTTACACACTTGACTGAGCATGTAATAGACACAGGGAATGCTAAACCTGTAAGACAACCCCCTTGGAAAGTTCCTCTGGCATTCATTAATGACGAAAAGAATGTAGTGACCCAGATGTTGGATCAAGGGATCATAAAAAGGTCTAATTCTCCTTGGGCTATTCCACTACAGCTAGTGATAAAGATATCAGGCAAAGTGAGACCATGTGTTGATAACCGGAGAGTCAACGCTTGAACAATTCCGGACACCTACCCATTAGCTTGCATTCAGGACTGCCTGGATGCCGTGTCTGGGGCCACGTTATTCTCCACTTTCGATTTAACCAGTGGGTATCATCAGATACCTGTACGAACACAAGACATACCCAAGACCGCTTTCGTGACAAAGTATGGCCTTTATGAGTTTAAAACCATGCCATTTGGTGTGTGCAATGGGCCAGCCACTTGCCAGAGGCTGATGGAGCTCATATAACAAGGTTTCCAGTGGCAGATATGTCTCATCTATCTAGATGACATTATTGTTTTTAGCCAAGATTTTAATGAATATATGAGTCGTTTGAACTCAGTCCTCAAACGAATTTAAGATGCAGGCTTGAAATTGAAGCCTGAAAAATCTGAGCTTCCCAGATCCGAAGTAATATTCCTTGGTCATGTAATCTCCAATAAGGGAATAAAACCAAATCCTGACAATATTGCCAAAATCTTGGAATGGCCCACTCCTAAGAATGTGACAGAGGTCCGTCAAATATTAGGCATGGGGAGTTACTA